AAATAAATAATAACTACACTGTTTTAGTCTTCAGGGAAAATTAATTGAAATAACTAGAAGTTGTTTTTCAATGCAAAGTCCTGTACAAGTTGATGCTAAAATGTCAAGTCCTCATTAACCCATAGACTTCCCAATTCTCAGTTTGGGTCAACGGGCTACAAAATATTCTAATATGGGTAAAAGTTGAATTCCCATATGAACCAATTAATCTAAGCACCCTCAGAAGGAGGTCTTTTAAAATGCCTCAAGACCAGAAAAATCAGGGCACAACTAATGTAGGTTGCCTGAAACTCCAAAACCTCAGCTGATTGCCAATCAGCAACCAACATGCCAGATATTTCCTTGATTAAAGCAGGTGCTTCAAACAATCCATATCAGGTTATTACAGAATCAAAGAAATTAGAGATGGAAATGGCCCATTAAGTCATCCTTCCTACTTCTTCCAACTCAGGTGACTGGAGCCTCCTTTGATGAAATCTGTTTTTATCAATCACCTTTTCATCCATTTCAAAAGAAAATTTAATAAATAAGGGGAGACCTCTGCATTTATTTTCATTGAGAAGCCACTGATTAACCTCTTAGCAATGGAATAGCTACTGATTGGAATGAAGCAGGGTGAACAGGCTGATTGTAAGAATTCAGGATCTGGTGTTATTAAGCAAATAGTAACTGATTATAAATTAGGATGCTAATCGGAATGAAAAATTTATAAGTTTCTTGAAAGTTTGCAAAACCTTTTTATCCTTCAAAAAGTTTCTTTCGCATTAACAGCTTGAATTCCCCTGTCTTGCATAAGTGTCATTTATTTTGGGGATTAAAGGAAACTTAGTATACGGAAAAGACAAAAATAGTACTTTTATTTTTAAATCATTTAGGGGATCAGGATTGCATTACAATTGGGCTAAAGGTCATTACAAAAAATGCCAGAACAAAGAATAAATACAATAAAAGACAAAGGGTAAAAGTTTCGAGATGAAACAAAATGAAAGCTTCTAAACACACAAATATTCAGTACTTCAGTTTTTTTCAAACAGATCTGGAGAAAATCAAACTGGATATCACATAATTAATGTCAAGGTCGAATTGATTAGTGGCTCTAAAGTAACATTAGCTATGATTTTTTTGAAGCAATTTAGAGAGACTAAAGAATGCATGAACCTGCTAAACAATAAATAATTATTCTTCAAGAATTATCTCCAGTGGATGCTTGGAATGATCCCAAGAGACATACTAAATGATTCTTGACCAAGGGAGCAGGCAGCATAAAGACCTTACAGACTGAAGGTTCTCACATTTGTGGGCCTTACAAGCAGAGATTTATGGGGATTGATTCTTTTTAAATCACTAGACTCAAATGATTTTTAAGTACATGAGGCATCAATTACCAAAACTGACACTATGTAAATAGGTGCTATCATCATTAGGATATCATTTTACCAGGCTAACCTATGAACCAGACCATTTTCAGTTACGAATAGCATCTTTACAGGGCAGGACCTAGCGAGACATCATCATTGCCTTTGGCCCTACTTAGGGATGGCTCTATTTGCATGCATAGGTGTTCCCACTGCTATCTTCAAATGGGCACAGGGAATTTAAAACAGAGTACTGAAAAAATAACATGATATCATTTCCATGCTCCTTCAGACTCAGAAGAAAATTCATTTGTTATTGAGGTACGTAGGATTCAGGACAGAATTTTGCAAATAGGCTATCTTTACCACCCATATTCATCAAATAATTGCTCAACTCTTCACTTAATTTTGCCTGTGTAAATATATACTTCAACAGATGGATTCATTATTATCACATTCTAATTCTGTTCCATTAAGCTCTCTATCAGGATAATAATTACAATCAGAAAAGGAGAAATTCAAGAAAATTCGTTTCACTTCAAATATACAACTCGCAGGTTATGGAACCATTATAGATGCTGAACCTAAAAGAGCTATACAATGACAATAGGTCATGAGATTTAATTGTCATGGAAATTGAATTATTAAAAAAGGGCAAATTTTGATTGAATTTGGGTTCAGAAAGAAAAGCAAAAAGATTGTCTCAATCACCATGCTAACAAATACCACCAGAAAAATAAAGAAAAGGGCAATAGGAGAAAGGACTTCTTTGTTCATCAGAAAGGTTGGACCTTTACTACTAGGCAGGGCTATTTATAAAAAGATAATTATAAATGCTTTTAAAAGTAAATCAATTTGACATTTAAATAAATCAAATTTCACCTAATGACTACTGTCTCAGTATTGAATAGCAAATTGAAATGCAGTTCCACTTATAACTTTTCCTGATGTATTTTACAATGGACTGCTTCCTTTACCTTTTGGTGCAAAAGACTCCCTTCACAGGTCCTTCAGGTTTTGACCTACATTTCACTGTCCTCTTTCTTCTCCAGGATTCTATTACCTCATTCAGCATCACCTAGTTTAGCAGTTTATTGTTGCCTAAATACATAATGTCTATGAACTTGGCCAGCCTTGCTAAATTGTAAGTTCAGTGGGGGAAAGAACCTCACTTTTTTTTTATCATCCAAAGTGCTCAAGACAGTTTCCAGTATTGGACTGGGTACCCAATAAATATGTTGAAACTACTCAGTGTACCATTTTAGGAATTTCAGGTGAATCCTATTTTCTTTACATTTGACTTCTATCATCATTATCATCAACATCTGGGACTCAAATCCAGTACCTTAACTTCCTAGGTAGGATCTACCTTACAGTAGCAGATGTTCTTCCTCACAAAGAATGATTTCTAGGTGTAAATTTCAGATGATGAAATAACTTCTGGGAACAAATTTCATACTCTTTTAGAAAGCCATCCTTCCAGAATCCTGGTAAGGTACTATCTGAAATGGCTCACAATTATGCTTTCTACTACAGCACAAGCAGTCAGCCTTAATGAAATGAAAGCTTTGTTGCTTGTCCTTCATTTTCTAAAAGGATCAAAGGCATCACAGGGTGATGTCTTGACTTGTACATTAACTGGATTTAAGTGAGGCAGAGTTGCACAAAGTCATCAGACTCACTCTCTCTTGAAGAGTCATCAAAGTCTAGTGACAAGACAAAAGTCAGGACAATTGGTGATGGCCTGGGATGCAGCGGATGACCTTGGCATCTTTGATGTTTAACCAAACTCCAAACCAAAGTACTCCACAGCATTTGCTTCAGCTGCCTTTGTGTCCTTTGGAACAAATTTTCCTCAACTACTCATTCTAATGAGGGAAGTCTTCACATATTTGGGGTAGACACCCCTCTAATTTACCAATGAGTTTGAGTTTGCCAGTTACCCTCAACCTCACTTAGGTAAACCATCTTGGCGGACAGGCTAAGTGTGGCCATTGCACACGCTACAGCTTCTTGGAGCCACAGGTGAGAGTTGAATATCAAGTAGACACCAAAGGTGGTTGAGAAGTCAAGGGCTCAGCAAGCCATCACACCAGAGGTACTAGTCCTCCTTGAACACCATACACCCCATGAAATGAAAACTACACATGAAGGGGGAAAATGTGTACCTTGGATAATCACTGACTGATGAATCACAACAAAAATATTTAGACCTCTAACTACTAATTATGAAATGAAATTTGGGTATCTTACTAAAGATGAAGGGAAACAATGATATCAGAGAGCTGGCCTCAAAGTCAGGAAGACCTGGGTTCAATTTCTGTCCATGACACATAGTGGCTTTCTGGTCCTGGGTCAATCACTTAACCTCCTGATGCTCCAGGCAACTCTATAAAACTAAAAATTGGAGAGAAAGTACCAACCTACACTAATAGAGGCAGATTCCTCATGTGAGAGTTACCTATGTCAATGAAATCAAAAGTTGAGTACCTATCCACTAAAGATGAAAAATGTTAGCCTGTAGAGCTCAATAACAAATTAAAAGCATGAAATAAAAGAATTAAAATTTAAAGCTACAGACCATATGAACTCCAAAAATGACTGACCTCAAGTCGGCTGAAGCTAAACTAAAAAAAAAAGGAAAGCAAAGAAAATACAGTATTGTCAGCAAGCATCCAAACTTTGGCATCAGAAAAATTTGGGCATTATCCAAACTTTGGCCCTATCCCAAGGGAAACTGAGCATTTCTCAAACCATCTGGATAGCTTGCAGCTTTTCTGTTAGACCTTCCCAAGAAAACTTAAAGTAAAAGAAAATGCCAAGTTTCACAATCACAAGAAATCTTCACCATGGTTGAAATCATACAAGAGCATTTGAGGGCATTGCCATATTTAGGAACACAGGGATCCTAGGTATAAGTTGTCCCTTTAATAATTGCTTATATTTTTAATGTGTCCCCTCACTTTGCTGGAGGGTCTATTAGTACAAAAATACCTCTGCATAGGAAAGAAAAGAAAAGAGAGAATAGACTCCTACTCTGTACATGCATTGAGGTAAACAATTTTTATCTCATATTTTATTTACAAATATTATCTCATTTGATAATACAGACCAAGATTTCATTAAGAATAGTACTGTTTTATTTAACATGTCTGAACACTAACTGGTATTTGAATTATAGTATCTTTTTTATTTTGGTTCATATTTAAGTTACATTTCAACACTGGAACAATTGTTTGTCATATGGCCTATGTACCCTAGATTTCAATTATAGTACATGATTTGAAAAATAAATAATAGGCATTTGAATCATCACGAAGGATCTGAATGATGGTATAGGACTTACTTTCTGAATTCTACTAGTCCTATTAGAAAAATTGAAGAAGATATACTTAGGAAAATCAGGACTCATGGATTGAAAAGGATTGAATTTGCCTTATAATCAGGAAGGAATAGCTATCCCAACCTCCATTTATATTAGGCAAACATCTTGGCAGGTGACATTTATCTCATGCTCTGCCCATAATTTTATGTTACATTTTTGAGCTAAAACTCATTTTCGAAAACAATTAAATTACTTTCATGTCATCTCACAGGATAAAGGGACAGGTACAGTGAGTAGTTCCCCCACCCTCTCGAACTTACCAACAATCTCACTTGGTTCCTTATTGTAAAGCTTTTTGTTCCAGTAAAGGAGTCTCAGGAAAGGAAAGGAGACCAAGAGAACAAGACAAATTCCAACGAACATATGCGCTGTGAATCCAGCAAAATCCATTCCCTAAAAGTTAAAAAAGGAAATAAAAATAGTAGACTGAGCTTCACTTTCTATATAGATAAAACATTCCTCCTCTTCAGTTACATTTTATAATTCAGTGACTATGTCCATATGATCCCAAAACAACTAGAAAAAAACCAATAAGGATCGGTCATTTGCCCAGATGTTTTGCTCACGTAGTAGCAAATGTTTTGAGAAATTTCCTGATACTTTACTGCATTTTTCATTTTTTCCCAACAATTTCCCACACAATACATACAAAGCATTGGTTAGAAAGACCCTTGGGAAAGAATTAATATTGGAAAATTAACAGATTGTTTTATAATTCATATCGTTTGCAATAAAATAGACATATACCCATATATGTGTGTGTGTACAAAACTATGAAAATTCACCTATGCAAGGAGGTATATGTTTCACATATATATATATATAATATATATGCATATTTATCAAAATATATATGACTTCATGAGTGTTGGTATCACTTCTACTAATAAATATTAGTAGATCATAATTCCTCCATGACTTATTAAATGATTTTTGAGTATGATTGTTGCCAAAAATCATAATGATGTGGTGGTCAACGTTCTGCTAATGACCCCTTCAAAAATTAGTGTGGCAGATCCTCGGACAATAAACACAAATCCTTCATTGAGACTATACTGGAGGTCTTTCCACCTTGCCAGAAATATTTCTCGTGTCATATTATTTTGGAATTCAGAATTCTCTATTCTTTGATTAGACATCCAAGTAGGAATTTAATGGAAGAAGAAAATAGATTGATGAGTGAGTGAGAAAGAGGGAGAGGGAGAGAGGGGGAGAGAGAGAGAGAGAGAGAGAGAGAGAGGGAGGGAGGGGGGGGGGGGGGGAGGGAGGGGGGGGGGAGAGAGAGAGAGAGAGCCAATTGTTAAATTTTGAGTGTGAGCTTTTACACCTCGGAAGTTAGCAAAAGGTATAAAGCAGGGCTTAATTTATTGTTTTGTTGACTGAAAGAAAGTGATGGAGGAAAAAGCTACTAATTCAGATTAAACTTAAAACTGTGTCATGAGTACATTTTCTTTTCTTGGAAAGCTGGTTATTAAACATTTATTAACACACTACAGGATAGATCTCTTCCTATACACAGTTATAAACTATAGGATGAAATCTCTTTTTATCAGGTAGCTACACCCAAGTCTTTAGTTTCCAGAGTCAATTAAGTCTCAATACTCTTTAAGGAAAAGAACCAGCCTGGAGACCCTGGTAGACATTCCTCCTATTGTATATACATTATTTAGTCATCATCTCTGTCCACATGAACACTAAAGAAACAGCTAGGTATAGCTTTCAATAGGGAAGAGTAACCAAGACACTCATTACTGTCTGGTTCATAATTTTGTTGTAAATGTCAATCAAATGAAATAAAATATCTTAATTACGGTCATAAGGTTCTTTTTAGTGAGAATCTGAATTTTTCTCTTGCAATTATTTGAAAATGAATCAATTTTACTTAGAACTATAAGCTACAGGCAGGACTATACAAATTATATACACATATATTTTACAGATATAAACATATATTTGATTTCTATTTTTCCTATTACATATACATAGATATATTCACATACATATATATAGATTTATACATACACACATATAAGTATACTGTCTCCAATTGTTGTTTATTCTTTGCTCACTGTTCATTACTTGTTTGTTTGTTATTTTGGCTAAGCAGTGGGGTTAAGTGACTTACCCAGGGTCACACAGACAGTAAGTGTCAAGTGTCTGAGGCTTGATTTGAACTCAGATCCTCCTGACTCCAGGGCCTGTGCTCTATCTACCATGCCACCTAGCTACCCCATAAATGAACCTTTCCTTTTCTTTTTTTGGCTAGGCAACAGGGGTTAAGTGACTTGCCCAGAGTCACACAGCTAGTAAGTGTCAAATGTCTGAAGCCAGATTTGAACTTAGGTTCTCCTGATTCCAGGGCTGGTGCTCTATCTACTGCACCACCTACCTGCCCCTCATTACTTCTGATAGTATTCTGAGTAACTATCATTTAGTGGGAAGCGGCCAAACAAATGGGTGTAAACTTGGAGTCTAGGTATATTTCTGCTTTAAGGGATAGAAACCAGGGGATCTAGCAGCTTTTCAACCAATATTCATGCTCAATATTAGCAATATTTATGAGGAAAATAGATTTAATTCTAGTCCAATGCTCCCTTTCTTTGCTGTAAGGTGGGTAAGATTCCAGAGTTAGCTACGTGTACCACCTCTTGAGCTGCTCGTCTATATAATTAGGTATGCTATGTGGATTTACACATCTTACATGTGCAACACACCTTATAAATACATAGACAGGGAAATAGGGTACTTCAATCTCAACACAAATCTGCAGTGTAATGCAATAGCTCAAAAAGCTAGGGTAATCTTGGGCTGCATTAAGAGAGGCATAACTTCTAGGAGTAAGGTAATAGTCCCTCTGCATTCTTCCTTGATCAGATCACATCTGGAACATTGTATTCAATTCCAAATGCTACATTTACAAATGACTTTGAATAGCAGGAGAGTGTCCAGAGAAAGTTTAACCAAAATAGGAGAAGGCTTTGAGTCCAAGCTATAGCAGGATCTCTTGAAGGAACTGGGAATGTTTAATATGAAGGAGAGAAGAGTTAAGGGAAATGTGATAGTTAGCTTCAAATATATGAGAAAGTGTCACATGAACAAAGGATTAGTCGTGTTCTGTTTGGCTTCTGAGTGCATTTGGCTGACAAATATTTATTAAGCACTTAAAATGTACCAGAAACTGTGCTAAAATGTTAGAATACAAAAAAGGCAAGAACACAGTCTCAACCCTCAAGGAACTCACATTCTAGTAGGGGAAAACATCCTGTAAATGACTATGTACATAAAAGATACTTATAGAGTAGATGGAAAGTAATCTTAGAGGGAAGCACTAGCACTGGAGAGGATAAGGAAGGAAGGAAGGAAGGAAGGAAGGAAGGAAGGAAGGAAGGAAGGGAGGGAGGGAGGAAGGAAGGAAGGAAGGGAGGGAGAAAGGAAGGAAGGAAAAAGCATTTATTAAATGTCTACTATGTGCCAGGTACTCTGCTAAGTGCTTTAAAAAATACTATCTCATTTGATCTCACAATAACCCTAAGAGGTAGGTGCTATTATTATCTCCATTTTGCAGTTGAGGAATCTGAGGCACACAGAAGTTAAGTGACTTGCCCAAGGTCACACATTTAGTAAGTGTCTGATACTGGATTTGAACTCAGGACAGTGCTCTTGTTCTATCCACTACCAAGCTGCCAAAAGTCACTAAACTTGGAGTCAGGAGATCTGGATCTGACTGTTTTTAGTTGTATGACTTTTAGCAAGCTACTCAAGCTTTTGAGCCTCAGTTTCTATATATGTAAGACAGAAATAACAATGTTTACATTACAGTACATACCCCATAGGCTTGTAAGGAAAAGATCTACCACCAACTTTGTCCTCCATGCTGTTAAAGACACCAAGGGTCTTATCTCCTAACCTAAAGTAGTTCTCTTGTTTCTTAGGTCTTTACCATTTCACTCTCCCTATATTACTTAATTCTCTGTGTGGGGTCAGTTTCTTTTGGTAGTTCGTTCTCTCTCCCTCTCTCTCTCTCTCTCTCTCTCTCTCTCTCTCTGTCACCTCTGTCTCTGTCTCTCTCTCTCCCCCTTCTTCTGTCCCTCCCTTTCTCTCCTATGATTTCAGTGAAGAAATCATAGGAAAGATACAGAAAAAAAAATCACAAAATTATGACTTCTAGAAGGAAATAATCCATGCAAATGTCATGCACATTTTAATGCTAATTCTTATGCTAAGCTTTTTATGTAAATATATCTATGGGCCTCCTGCTGTTTCCCTATATCTCTGTAACTTCCTAGGGAAAACCATTTCTTTAAAGGTCCTGTGTCAAAAAAAAAAAAAACATCCACAACAAGACTGATATTGGTATAGTTCTTTTATTCAGTCCTTTCCTTTTTCCTTATGACTGTATTGTTACAACCCTTCCTCTGACTAGTTCTTTTCTTTTTGGCTTTACATGCTTTTCTCCTCAGTCAGAGAGAGAATCTTTACTTACACTGAAAAAAAAATGCTGCTAAATAATAGTAATAATTCACAATCATATACCACCTTACTAGTTTACAAAGCATTTTCTACTAGTTTGCAAAGCATTTTCCTCACAGCGGAGGAGCAATTAGCCAATTTCAATGTAAAGTGACAGTTACTGAAACTGAGATCTATTGAAACCTTGTAAGAATCTAGTCCCATTTGGGCACAAATCTTTCTTTAGTAAAGAAAGTCATTCTGTACCCAGTTCAAAAATCTTGTCTCTTAGCAGCAAGATGCTCAGGCTGTTTCTCTATGAAGTCAAAATATTGAATCACTTAATTTTAAAAAACAACTAAACAGGATGGGCAAAACATCCAAATAATTTTGATGAATTTTTTCAAGTTGAATCAACTGAGCTGGCCAGATATATTGGCATCTCTAGGCAAACTTCAAGAGTGAAAGTGGAAGTTCACTGATCCATCTTAAAATTTCCATAGATTCCACATTCCTAGATCTCCTTTCTCCAGGGGGAGATAATAGGATTTAGGGTCCTAAGGGACCTGAGAGATTTTCTCACCAATCCCCTTCCCTTACAACTAAGAAAACAGAGGGCCATAGAGTTGAAATGACTTGTTCAATATCACACAGGTATCAAGGCAGAACCTGGATTCCAATCACAGTCTTATTCTAAAGGCAAGATTCTTTCTCCTGTACCATGCAGAGGGAATGATAGAGCTTCATACACTGGTATAAACAAAGTTTTCCAATATTGGGTTGCCACTGTGGGTCTGGTTAGCACTTGGCTTTGGATTTCAGCTGTTACTTCATTGGTTTTTGAAGTCTTCATAGAAAAGGTACTTTTAAAAAACATTTTTACCTAGGCATAGTGGTGCACACCTACAATCCCTATTATTTGGGAAGAGGGGAGAAAGGGGTTAGACTAGTGGATTACTTAGCTTCAGGAGTTCTGAGCTACAGTTGAGCTAAAGCCCATCAGTTGTGTGGTACCAATATTGCAAGTGGGAGTAGAGGGTCATTAGGCTGCCTAAGGAGGGCCAAACTAGCCTAGATTAGAAAAACAGAGCAAGTTTAAGGTTCTGGTTGCTACCAATGTTGGGATCAGTCTCCTGGGTGGCTACCACACTTCCAGTCAGGGCAAGATAAGTTTCCCAAATAAAAACAAAAATCATTTTATTGTAATTTTAATAACCAGAAATAAAAACAGTAATTCAAAAAAAGAGACAAAATATTACATTTTTAAGATGTAAAAGAGCACTTAACAATGTTGAATCAAATTGTTCCAAAGTGATTGAATTGCTGGACTGAAAGAGTTATCTTTAATGGTTCAATATCAATTTGGCAGGAAATGTCCAGTGGAGAACCCCAGAATCTGTGCTTAGCCCTATGCTTTTTAATTTTTTTTTATCAATGATTGGTATAAAATACCAGAAAGTCTTTCAAGTCTTCAAATGTCCATTTTTTTTCATTCAGAATTTATATTGGGAGGGTGGGTGGGATGGGGAGTGGGAAAGATGGGGGGAGAAGATAAGATAACAGGGAAAGGGTAAACAGAGAGGCTGAGAAAGAAAAGAGGGAGTAAAAATAATATAGAGGGAACTTCACAAATAGTAATTATAACTTTGAATGTGAGTGGGATGCTTACAGCAGCTCTCTTTGTGGTGGCAAAGAACTGGAAATTGCAGGGATCATTTGCATTAAATCATCAATTGGGAGTGGTTGAACAAGTTGTAATGTATGGTTGTGATGAAATACTACTGTGCTATGAGAAATGATGAGCTCAATGATCTTGGAAAGACATGGAAAGACTTACATGAAATGGTGAAAAGCAAAGTGAGCAGAACCAAGAGAACATTGTCTATGGTAACAACAACATTGGATTAAGAACAACTTTGAGCAACTAAGTCATTTTGACTATTATAAATACATAAATTAAAAATAAAGGACATATGAAGATAGATGCTATCTGCATCCAGAGAAAGAACTGATAGAGGTATGGATAGAATAATTATATATATGTATATATATACATATATATAATATGTATGTATATGTATACGTATATGTGTGTGTATACATATATATGTATATACACAGAGAGGGTTATCTATTTGGGTATAATGTTAGTCATCTTTAGGGTAAGGCAGGGGGAGGGAAGAAAAAAGGAAAAGGAAGAAATTTACACGATAACTTGTTTATTTAGAAGGAAGAGCAAGTTGTACATGGTGGATTTGCAGTTTCATATACAATCACCTTTTTTAATTGTACTGCTATGGAAATGTTTGTTTTATTCCATAAATTAAAAATTAAAATAAAAAGGTAAAAATATAAAAAAATTAAAATTTTAAAAAATGATTGGTATAAAAGCATAGATGGCATTTATATACTCTGCCCTAGTGTGGTGACAGCTGGAATATTTTTTTTTCAGTTCTAGATACTACAATTTAAGAAAAAACATTGATAAGTTGGATAATAGCTAAAGTAGGTAGGCAGATTAATAAAGGGATATGAGGCCATGCCATGTGAGGTTCAGATGAAAGAATAAGGATATTTTGCCTGGGGAAAGGAAAACTCTAGAGAGATATGACAAGAATCTTCAATTTCTTGAGAAGCTGTCATATATAAAGATTACATATATTCAGTTTCACCCCCAAAAGTAGAACCAGGCACAATAGATACAAGTTACAAAAACAAAACTTTAGGTTTGGTGCAAGGAAAACCTTCCTAACAATCAGAGCTTTCCAAAAGTGGAATAGACTGTATTGGGAAATGGTGGGTGCCCCCTCACTGGAGGTCTGTAAGCAGAAGCTGGATGAGCATTTGTCACACATGGGAGAGCCGGGTTCTCTCGGATTGGGTTGGACTAGCTGCCTTCTGAGATCCCTTACAATTTCTCTGAATCTGTGAAAATGCTTTCATTCTGTGTCCCTTTCCACATCTGTTTTATGCTTTGCAATTTCCAGCTCTTTCTTCATTCCTTCTTTCTTTGATAGAATTAATGAACCTGACTTTACCTGCTATGAAAGGGGTATTGAATAAACAAAGCAGAATGGCATGGGATACACTCCCAAAAGGAGCTTTGGAAGAAAACTGTCAGGAGCAAGGCCAGCAGTTGCCACAGAAACACTTAATGTCCCACTAAAGCAAGGGTTACTACTGATGAGGGGGTTTTGAGTAGCAGAGCAATATTATTCTGCTACAAAATGCACAAGCCCTTTGGCAGCTGGAGAGCAATTCTCCCCTTTAACCAGACACTAAGAAGAAAATTAAAGAGAAAGGAAGTATAAATTATACCCTGTAAGAGAGCCATTCCTTTTGACTAAGACATTACTCATTCCAGGATCCCTCTTTTAAAATGTCAATTCACAGAGAAGAGAAAGAGAAGGGAATTACAGAGAAGGGCAATAAGACAGTACAGAACACAAACTTTGCCTTCTGCCCAATTTTGCCTAAGTTCTAGCCTGATCCTGAGGAGGCATTCCTTAGATCTATTGCAAAGCCCAGTATTGATTTTCTTTATTGCTGTATAAATTACATATTTACTATTTATTTTCCCTGTGAATATTTTCAAAATTAATTTCAAAGCTTAAAATAATTTTGGAAGGCTTTCCCTTCCTACATTAGTCTGTTAATGAACATCCAAAGAATGCACAATAAATATGCCTCTTCTGGAATGCAAACATCTGCCTGCAATCTCATTACGCTGTGTTGATAGCAAGGTCTTATAAATTAATCACTGCTGAAAACACTTTTCCCTTGGAATTCATTTGTGACTTCATAGAGATAAGTATTGTCTTATCTCCTCACTGCTAATGAATAAATAGAAGCAACTCAGATTTATCCACAAAGACCAGATTGGATTTAGTTTTCCTGAAAGATAAAGTTTAACCCTGAACTTCTGGGGGTATCATTTTCAATAAAAGGTAAGGAATTCTGTTTTCTCTAATCTGTAAAGCAATGACCTGGATGTTGCTACTCAGAAGGATGCTCTACTGGTAAAAGTTCAGTGACATTGACCACAGGGCTTATCCAAGGCCCTGACCTCATCATAGGCTGATGGGTCACAAGAAAAAATGAATTCTAAGGCTATTCATCCAAATGCCCTGCCTTTGGCCCATTACCACTAGATTCTAAATCTGGGAAGTTTCTACAGCAGCCTGTTAAATGACCTGAAAAACCATTGTGGTATACAGGGATGATTTAATATAAAGAATATAAATAGTATGACTTTCCCCCTCTTCCTTCACACACTCTGAATGGCATGGTGCAGTACACTAGTGCACTTTTCAGATCAGTTTTATTATTCCAATTTCAATTTTATGCATTCAAATGCAAGACTCCAAAGGCAGCTTTAAAATAGTGTAGAATTAATTCTATTGTCCTCCAAGAAAGGCAATGTGCCTGGGATTGCACTTTAATACCAATTAGGAACTAGCTTGGGGCAGCCTTATAAAGATAAACCATAGTACTCTCTTCCATCTTGTGTCAGAGTATTATCTGTTATGTACTTATAAAAATAAAGAGAGGAAAAAAAGAGACAGGAGCAGATATTGAAAAAAGAGTCAGAAAAACCTTACCAGATCTAGCTCTTATGATGAAATACTTCTATTGAGAGGTCAAGAATCATGTAGCCTTACCTACCACTAAATGAAGGGCAATCCAGCTTTTCTGGATATCTACATATATTAACTTATCCAACCCACCTTTCTTTCTTTTTGTTCTTCCTTATTTCCCTCCTTCTATCTTTCTTTTTTCCTTCCTTCCTTCTTCTGTCTTTGGTTATGTATGTATCAAAAATTAAACCAGCACAAGAATGAGACAATTTCAAACTACTTAACTCCTAATGCAAATGTCAACCAAATACCCTTGTATTCTTAAGTTGTCCAATAGCACCCAAAAAAAATGTCAACAAGGATGAACTATGCATAGTTTCTAGCAAAGACACCCCTAAGGATAAGAGGTATAAGTTGACAAGCCAATATCTGCATGTGTTTGTGGAAATCCAATTATCTTGATACATACCATCTTCCTCAACTCCTGATTGGAAACAATAATCACATTTGGTGGATCCCCAACAGCTGTGGCAGCTCCCCCAATATTTGTAAAAATCACTTCTGCTATTAGGACATGCCTGGGATCAAGATTGAGCACCTCACATAACCTGTTGAAGATGGAGGGAAATGAAACCACTCACTCAGCCTTTGATTAAATTGTCCTTCAGAATCTGAGAGTCTTATATAAACCCAAATAACAATAACAGACGTCATACTTAGGATATAAAACACACATATACACAGACAACCAAAAAAAATGAAAACTAATATGTATGGGCGACAGCTAGCAGCCAAGGACCTCAGATCATAGTTCCAGGTATTTATTTTACCTGTGATTCAGCATCCTTATATGTAAAAATGTAAACAAACCCACTTCTCGGCCTCATGGGTTTGGTGGGCAAGTACAAGGAGGATGCTTTCATAGGCATACAGGAATGGTATTTGTGCAGTGCACAACCAGTGCTTTTTATCCATAGAGCAAAGAGCTTATAGTAAAACAGACTTACTTGAATGAGAGAGGACTTGGTAACCAGATCTTCTGAGGGAAAATTTCAGCAGCAGCACATGAAGCAACAGCATCAGTAGCATTCATAGCATCAATAGACTCACTTTAGGGTCCTAGATTACTTTTTATGTTGCTTTGTTACCTTCGCCTTGCCCCCAAGTTGGACAGCTCCTAAAGTATATTCCAATCCATTCTCTGAGTCCCCAGTTTTATGCATACTGAGCATCAGGGCCATTCCTGATTCTGTTTAGGGTTTCACATGTTCCTCTCTCATGGTTGGGGGGAAATTTAAGCATGTTTACCACTAACAAATGCTGAGATGCTGAGGTCTGATAACTCATAGAGTGTTTTATGCTCCCAGAGTGACAGGAGACTAAATCCAGGTATTAATCTTTATTATTGGTTGTCTGGAAAAGCTAGGGCTTTATTGTCTGGGCAGATAGGTTGCATGGTGGATAGAGCACTGGGCCTAGAGTCAGAAGACCTGAGTTCAAATGCGGCCTCAGACACTTACTAGGTGTGTGACATTGGGCAAGTCACTTAACCCTGTTTGCCTTGATTTCCTCTTCTGGAAAATGAGGTAGAGAAGGAAATAGAAAACCACTCCAGTATCTTTGACAAGAACATCCCAAATGGGGTCACAAAGAATTGGACATGATTGAAACAAAAAAGCAATGAGTAAGTCTGGAAAATACCTAGAGAGGTCTTGTAGTCTCCCTTTCATCTCCAGTGAGTTAATGATTAGTCTTCAGGAATATCAAGATCCTTAGCAAGAAACCAAGGATGGTTTCTAGGAATAGCACAGTCAGGCCAAAGAAGAGAAGGAGTCATTTCATTTTTTGTGTCCTCACCCTTTTATATTACTTATCTCCAACCCTAATTCCAAGTCACCAAACGACCATCAGTAGGAATTGGAGCAACGAAGTCTGAGGAAGGAAGGTGTGCCATGGTCCTTGGAAGAAGTCACACAAAAAAACTAACGAGCAGATAGAAATTATTATCTGCTGTTCCAGTGATCTGCATTGGTTATAAATAGCCTTTTCTTTAAAAAAAAAAAAAAGGAAGACCTACTGAAATCATAAAAACCACAATCAGTGGAAAAGTAAAAAAAAAGTCAGATGTTTAAAAAAAATGTGCATTAAAGAGAGACAGAAACAGGATCCACTTCTAGACACAGTTAAACGTCTGATATGAGTTTAGGCTAAAAATATCAAGATTGTACCACCAAAGGCTTAAGATTCATAAAATTGTGCTTAGTATGAATAGGGAAAACACAGACTTGTTTACTGACTTTAATATCAGGATGGGAGAACAAGAATCCTTGGCCTTGGAACACAGAGTTCTTATACAAAGCAATGGAAATGCTACTATTGCTTTAGAGGTTAAAAAAGAAGAAGAAGAAGAAGAAGAAGAAACTGATGAAATCACCTATTTTCAGAGGTGGGACATTCCAAAAAGGTAAAATCCATACAAATTCATGAAACAAATTCACTGTTCATACAAACTCCATGATGGTGCTAAAGGGAAGGTAGGGATGTTTTCTGCGCATCCTCAACTTTTGAAGTTGATGGCAGCAGCATCCCTTAATGTCATTGTCAGAAACAGAATAATGACCTAAATGCCTCATTGGTCTGATTCAGTCTAGTGTTTCATGTGTTCCTATCTCACAGCTGGGGGCAGGGGAAGAGGAGGGGTTAAGTATGTTTACCAGTAACAAATACCGTGCTCTGAGAAGTCATAGAGTGTTTTATGCCCCCAGAGTAATAGGGAACTAAATCCAGCTATTAATCTTTATTATCAGGAAAGCAGGAGAATTTTTTGGTCTATTTCATCTCCACAGTAATGACAGCATGCAATTATATCTGTAAAGTTATAGACAAGGGGCAAGAAACCTAATAATTGAGGAAAGGAAAGAGCCCAGCATGGTAGACATCCAAATATATAAATCCTATTTTTCCTTCTAAGAACAATCATAAAAGTAATTATCTGGCTAATTATAACTATAAAACTAACTATAGACTGAGAAAGCTGAGTTAGATCTCTCAAAAATCAATGTTTCTCTAATCATCTTAAATTTAAAAAAAAAAGTCTTGTCTCTATATCACATTCCTTTATGAAGACTTCAGATTTTTGAAGAGCTACCAATAACTTTTGGTTTGCCACAAGTAGATTACAATAATACTCCAGCTCGTGTGTGATCTCATCAATGTGAATATTCCTTGTAACAATATAGGTTAAACCCATATGAACCTTCCCATCCTGTGTAATTCTTTTCTGTTTCCTCCATCATGCTTACTAATGTTGGATGGATGGGAGGCCTAGGTCTAAGAGGAACTTCAACTGTGTCTGTCTTAACTTTTTAATTTGGAGCAAAGCTATGTACTAGTTATAGGTCAGCCTAGGTCTGACCTATGCAGTCATGCAGGAGCTGTTCTATTATGTATTGACTATTTATTCCTTTTGGACATGCTAATGCCTAAGAGTAAAAACTGTATAAAGAAGTAATGCTCTTCGAATTATTTTAGTGGCTTACTCCATGATGCTTTGTTCATTTGACTAGGGTTCAGTGAGATATTGCAAACCCAGGGAGAAGGGAGGAGTTTCCCAGTAGGATAGTATATAGAGACCCAGTATTGTCTGTGTTCTTTAACGAGCACAGTGAGGAACTGCCATGTAGAGTTGAGTTAGGCAATGGAAGAACACCTGCTCTCTGAGAACTTCAGAGATTTTAGATTCCCCTGAAGCTCCTGCCAGTGTTAAGTAGTTCTCTACTCAAGAGGACCTAGCTGCCAGGGTGAGTGTGGGAGACCAACATTTTCAGGCTAGAGAAGCAACACCAAGTCGTGGTCAAACAGGTGTTTATTATGAGATATAAGTAAGTGACACATACCTATACCAGCTGTCACCATTGTCTATCTTATCTCATAAATTTGTTGCTTGTCTGTCTCTCTGTCTCTTTTTCAAAGGAAGTCTAGTTTATACTCTGAAATATTCTCAATAAATTACCAAAATTGCAGAAACTTTTTCTAGGTCATCCCCACCCTAGAATAAAACCAGGGATCTCTTCTCACATGGATTAGCTTCCCCTCTCTCAATCTTGATCCAATAATTTATAAACTTGGAAAAAAAAATCACTGATAATCAATAGGCAAGTAATTTAATAGCAGTATCAGGTAATACAGAAATACAAATAAATATCCCAACAAAATAAATAAGGCTATAATAGGCCTCAAAACTAGGGTCATCTCTTTCTCCCTTCTTCAGACCATGCTTGCAGCCAGTATGAAGGGAATTGAAACAGAAAGGGGATAAACTTTAAACTCTGGGTGAATATTTTCCCAGCTCTGTGCACTAGGAAAAGCAAGAGGAAGAAAGAAGCTATTGCATGAACTTTACTTTAACCAGCTGCCACAAAAACCAATTAGGCTTAATTTCAGATTCAGTCTACTCTTTCCACTTTGATTCTCTCCTTGCTTTCCCTAGTCCATATATTCTCATGTTTCTACCTCCAGTCTGCTTTCCTGGCCTGGCATCCCAAAACTTGGGCATAGGTCCCTCCTCATAGTCACTAGAATCTCCAACAAAGTGAGTTTTATTAAAACCCTGCACACAGGATAGCCCAAGCATTCTCTATCATCCCAGAAAGATCTTCCCAAATCTCTGATCCTGAGAAAATCCTCCAAAGTCTCCCACCACATTCTTTTTTTTTTTAAGGCAGTTGGGGTTAAGTGACTTGCCCAGGGTCACACAGCTAGTAAGTGTCAAGTCTGAGGTCAGATCTGAACTCAGGTCCTCCTGACTTCAGGGCTGGTGCTCTATCCACTGTGCCACCTAGCTGCCTCATCCCACCACATTCTTGAGGTAAGGAGATTTAATGCTGAATCTTGGCAACCTGGGGCTATATAGGTCAAGGTCATTCAGATAATCTAGTGGTAAAACTAAAACTAAACCCAGATGTTGAGATTCCTAGTCATTAATACTTTCCTTTCGACCTTACCAATCCTAGGCATCCTCCATCAATTCAAGAACAAATTTAACAAGTTTTTAATAAGTATCTACTATATGGAAGGCAATAGGCTACGCACTGATGATACAAAAATGGAGAACAAGATGGCTCTTGCATTCAGAGAATATGCAACTGAAAAAATATATAAAAATAGGCATGCTGCAAAGTGATATTAATGATACCAGAGACATCAATAAAAACTCATATTTACATAAAACATTTTCTTTACAACCTTATGAGATGTTGTTGTGGCTGTTCAGTCATTTTAGTTGTGTCTGAGTCTTCATTACCTCATTTGGGGTTTTCTTGTCAGATACTAGAATGGTTTACTATTTCCTTCTCCAGCTCATTTTACAGATGAGGAAACTGAAGCAAGGAGACTTAAGTGACTTTTCTAGGGTCACACAGCTAGCATGTGTCTGAAGCCAGATTTGAACTCAGTTCTTCCTGACTACAGGCCCAGTGCTCTATCCATTGTGCCATCCAGCTGCCCTTACAACTTTATGAGATAGTCAGGCTGGAACATCTGAATCTAAATTCTGCCTCAAGTATTTACTAGCTATGTAACCATGGACAAGTCATTTTATCTTTCTCAGCCTCAGTTTATTCATCTGTTAAAGGTGGATAATAAATAGCACCTACCTCATAAGTTTGTTTGGATGATCAAATGAAATAACATATATAAAAGACTGTAAATCTTAAAGTTCTACCTAAATGCTAACCACTATTATTATTATTTGTGCAAATATTCATATTCTTATTTTACAAATAGGGAAACTGAGAAAGGTTAAATGAGCTGTGTATACACACAGAGCTAGTAAACATCAGGGTTGGGATTTAAACACAGATCATCTAATTCCAAATCCAAGGCTCTTGCCACTACATTAGACAGTTTCTGGGAGTCCAATGGAATTAGAGCAAAGCAACCCAAATGAAGACCTCTAGAAGAGCCGAGAAATGAGGTCTTAAAAACTACCTTTCTTTAAAGGGATTCAAAAGAGGCAGGAAAAGTACTGTTGGGGGGGGAAAACAAATATTTTAGCATACACAGCTTAAAATAGAGCTGTAGAAAATGGCAAAGAATTGTCTCCATGGACTATTGTGTGTGGTCATCAAGGAATGTCCTCTTTCTTAGCAAGACAAAGGCCTACTCTTTTTTTTTATTAATTTATTTTTAGTTTTCAACATTCACCTTCCATAAGCTTTTGAGTTTTAAATTTTCTTCCCCACCCTCCCCAAGACAACGTGCAATCTGATATAGGCTCTACATTTGCATTCCTAGTAAATATATTTTCACATTAGTCATGTTGTAAAGAATTAGAACCAATTAAGAGGAACCACAAGAAAGAAGAAACAAAACAAAGCAGAAGAAAAAAAGAGCAAAAAGTAAGCTTCGATCTGCATTCAGACTCCAGAGTTCTTTCTCTGGATATGCATGGCATTTTCCATCATGAGACTTTTGGAGAGGTCTTAGAGCAAAAGCTCACTCTTACCAAATGGTTGGGGGCTAGAATGATGAGAACCACAAGCAGAGGGGAGGGAAGGTTTTCTTGTTTGTTTTTCACTATAATTTCTCCAGGTCTATTGCATTTTCTGAAAGATTAGCGTCATCCCGGCCCTCAGCCCATCTCACCGTAGCTTGCCTCCAGTTAATCAACTTATCCCAGCCAGACTGTCTCCTGAAATTCTTTTTCTTCAAAGACACAAATTTGCAATTTCCCAAACCCAGAAATCTTCCCTGTATTTCTTTGGCTAGCTATGTCCCCCTTTTTTTTCAGTTTCGCCTCCCAAGTTAAGTGTATGCCTAAAGTAATTGATTACTCAATATCCTTGAGAGATAAATTTTGCAAAAAAGAAAACCTTTAACTTGGAAATTTTGTGCGCGTTGAGTTTCCATGACAAATTTATGAGAGAATACAAAGTTGCCCAGTATATCATCTTTGCCATTGGAGGGATTACCTGCCTCTGGGATACCATAGATCCAAAATATCAAAGCATTATTGTGTCTGGTACACAAGGTAGTAATCCAGTAATCAACAAAAATTTATTAAGTGCCTTGTATATGTCAAGCTCATACATGTTACTGGGGAAAGAAAGAAAAAAATAAAACAGTCCCTGCCCTCAAGGAACTTTCATTCTATCAGTAGCTGAGAAACAAGATGGACACAAGAATCTTGCACTGATATTTAATTATTTAGAATTTGAAATTTTTAGGTTATTCTCATTTTTGATCTCCATCAAGATAAAAAAAAATTTCAACCTGATCACTCATAAAGCTGACCTTATGAAAAGTAAATAGCCATTGCTTACCTTATGGTAACAGGTGTAAAGAGCAGCATTGTGGTGACATTATCTAAGAATGCTGAAAGGAATGCAGCAATGAGACAAAGAATAATGATCATGGCCCACACTCTGCCTCTAGACAGACGGTATGCCTAATGAACACAAACAAATACCAAAAGAAAAGGCCCCAGCAATTAGTGATTTCCTTGAATACATAGTTGATTTCACTTACAGAGACAAGTTTTCATGAAAGGCAGTATGGTATAATGGAAAATCATCTGGCCCAATGTCTAATCTTACTTTCCTATTGAAATAATAATAATAACTACATTTATATGGTACCTCTTGGGTGCCACTGCTTGGTACTTTACAATATTTTACTCAAGACTTTACTCAAAGTACTATAATACTTTACTCATTTGATCCTTACAACAATCCTAGGAAGTAGGTGCTATTATTATCCATATTTTACAGCTGAGGAAACTGAAGCAAACAGTGGTGAAGTGACTTATCCAGAGTCATACAGCTGGAGAGTATCTGAGGCTGGATTTGAATTCAGGTCTTCATGACTCCAGGCTCAACCCTCTATTCACTCTGCCCCCTAACTGCCTCTAATTTATTTTATGTACCAAGCATGTGTTTTTTCCTCGATAAAATTACTAATTTTAACTTCCTCACAGGGTTGTAAGGATTGAGAAGTATATAAAGTTCTTTACTGAAGGCACCATGATCATTCAACTCATTTTAATTCAACACAATGCATTAAGTTCTAACTCTATTCAAGGCAAGTTTAGGTACTAGAGAAACAAAGATTAAAAAAAAAAAACAGCACAACTCCTACTACTTTCAATGAGCTTACAATTGTGTTTCCCCAATCAGATTGTGAACTCCTTAAGAATAAGGACTTTGGGTTTGTTTGGTTTTTTGTCTTTTCTTTGATTCCCCCCTACTTAGTATAATGCCTGTTTGTTGTTGCTCAGTCATTTCAGTCCTGTCTGACTCCTTGTGATCCCATTCAGGGTTTTTTTTGGCAAAGATACTGGAGTGGTTTGCATTGGGTCACAATTATTATAGGATAATACATGTTAGATTCACTTCTGCAGAGTTCTTAAACCCTTACTGTATCCAACCATACCGTATCCAACCTGTGCCAAACTAATTCAGCCTTTGACTATATAAATAATCCAATCTAAAAATTTGGGGAATGCAATCTACATTCCTCGCCAGAGGCTATATGCCACAGATGTCAGCATCCTCACATCCTCTGACTGGAGCAAAACAGAGCTTTAGAGGGACTTAGATGTTCCATTATGCCCGTGATTTCTTCACTATCCAAATACTCTGCTTTCTATAGATATTGCTAGAAGAGTAGAAAAAGAACCAGGTTTCTTTTAGAGAAGTTTGCTATTTTCTTGTATTTAGTAGGTGCTCAATAAATATTTCTGCAATAAATAAATTAATCATGCTTCTTGCTTCCTGGTCTCACACTCTTTACACACTCCAATTAATGTTACCTTCAGAACTTTTAGCTTTTTCTGGGAATCAGAAAGGTCAGCTTAAAAATAAAAATTATAGTAATTTACCAAAGGAAAAATGGCAATATCATTGCTCAATCATTTGCAAATATAATGAAGGTGGACCTGTGATTTTCTTTGGATTCACCCACGTTTACACCACTGGAAATGAACCTTAAGAATGCACAGTGTAAAAAGCTATCACAAAAATTACTCTATTAAACAATATAGTTATCAGAAATGGATGACTTGTAATGCTTTATATCAAAAAAGAAAAGCAAAAATTATACATAGCTGTGTCAATCTGAACTTACCTACTGAAATAAAATTACACAAAAGATTTAACCCAAGCATTCATGCCTTTATCCACATCTCTGATTACTTTATGAGCGTAAAAAAATGGTCATAAGGACCATTAATCTCTTTCACATGGGGACTGCTCACTATTTTCAAAGAGACAATTCAGAAAATATGCAGTTTTTCTTAGTGATTTGTTTATAAAGGGCAATTGTATTTGATAAATGTAGCTATATGAATACAGTAATATATGTGATTTCTAAATTCTAGAAAAAACTTACTTTTACTGCGCAATAGTCAAAAAATCCAGTTTCTGAAAATATGGCCACTAAGATCATCTATAGGGGAAAAAGAAAACACATGATCAAAGCAAAGGTACTCATAAATTCAACTTTGATTTATATATTTAAATGAAATTTTGAACAGAGGAATGAAAATTTCTCTGTGATCCCAAGTTTTTCTCTAATACCAAAAGCTAGTATTATCTGAAATGGAGAAACATCAAAATCTTGTAAACACTAAAAACAAGTTAAACAAGAATTTTCACTGTCACCGCTACTGTTTAACATAGAATTGGCAAAATGAACTATAGCAGTTAGGTAAGAAAAATAAATTAAAGGAACAATCATCAGAAAAGTGGAAGGAAAAATTATATTTGCCGACAACATGAGAGTGTAATTAGAAAACCCTAAAGAATGAAAAAAAACTGTTACTGAGACAATATAAGCAGGTGAAGTTTCCACACACAAAAAAATATAGTTATTAGCATAAAATAGAGAA